CTCTGTACCTAAAGCTGAAACATCTGGAGGAACTGTAGCCTAAGTATGCTATCCAGATGTTTTAAAATAATTAGTAGGACAGACAATACATTTGTGTGATTGATGTTTCTACCTTTTTCTTCTTTTTATGGTATGGAGTAGCCCTAGTTTCTGTAACTGCAGTGTTGCTTACTAAAAGCTGCCTTTATTCCCGAGAAGCAGAGCGTTGAACTCAGTGGATGCATTGGAGACTGCGGGGGATTAGCTCTGGGTTCCTTTGTTAGTTGTGGACTTGGTGTGGATCAGGAAAAGGGGAGCAAGGTGAGTGACCTAGCTATATATATTCCTTTTGATCCTTTTCCTCCCTTTTGGCACTCTACTCTGAATCAGAGGCTTGATCTCAGCTCTGATTTCAGCTATTTTAAGCCTCTTAACTTTCCAACCTCTTCCTTATATGTGTCCTGTGAAGCCTGATTCAAAAGCAGACTGTACTCTATTGCAGTTTTTCTGAAAATATGATCAAGGGCCACAAACATAGAAACACGTTGGATATTTAGTGTGAATGCTGATTCCCGGGCCCTCCTAGCTTTTCTGACTCAAAGTCTCGGGAGGATATGTATTGGGAATCTATCTTTTAAATAAACTCTTCAGGTGAGTCTAGTGCAGACTTAAGAGAACTGTCGCATGAGAGCCTTGTTCTGATTGTTGCCACTTGTGAAACTTTCCCTCTTCAATTTTACTGACCTATAGAATCTAGAAATCAAAATAACGTAGGAAAAATTATAAATCTAAGTATCAGGGTGCTTCTGAAAATGTAAGGAAGTTAGGAGCTTGATAACAATTCATCAGAGATACTTGCTCTAGAATCTATTTTTAAGTATGTCGGGCATTTTTCTATCTGAAATCTGATTTCCATAGAAGATCTATAAGGGAATATTTACATTGCCAATATGGTAGCCATTTATTGTTTGATTTTTACAAAATCCTTGCCTCTAAGCAATTGGCATTCAAAACAAATCATTCCTTCATTAGCCATGGTAATTCTTTACTGCCTTTGTTCTGAAGCACTCATTTTATTTCCATTATCCCTATTGTATAACGCACGCATGAAACTAGCAAACCCCAGTTCATCACAGTGCAAACTGAATGGAGAAGTTAAGTGAATGCGATCTGGTGGGTTTCCCTCTCAGATTAGCAACCAGAAGAGTTCATCTTCTCTAAGAGCCCCCAAATGGGTCTGTGGGGAAGTAGTTTGAGGGAAGAAGGTCTGCAATACCAACCTATAACTCTTCCAAAGTCATTGATAAGCTAATTTATTGCAATTAAACCAATTACCAAGTCAGTTGTTTGCCATCAAGATAAACCACCTGGTGAATAAGTGAATTTTTCCACATTTTCGTGGGACGGGCAGAGGGAGGAGTATGGAGACTGTGGGGGCAAAGTACATTTCAGAACCTCTGCAGGATGCTGGCTGAGTCGAGACACCAGTCCCCCCGGAAACGAAAAAAAATTTTCACGAGGGCAGTTTTAGTGTCTGAACTCAACCCTGTACATGGAAAATGCGAGGTTAAACAAGTGACTCAGGAAGGACGGGGAACCTCAGAGCTAGACCCAAGCTTTCACTTCTCAGCAGGTTGCGTGGTTGGGTTTCACCTGCTGGTCAGTGACTTTCTTAGGCTAGCATGACTTTAGACCAACAGCCAGCACACGCTGAGGGACTTGGGGCTCCCTAGCAGTTTCTGCAGAGGAGCCTGGCTCTGGGTATTTCTCTAGTCTGGACAAGTGTGAGTGGCCTTTGCGTTACTTTAGTTTTTCTATTTTTTTCTTTATGTAAAGTGAGTGCTACTCACATTCCTAAGTTTCAAACTCAGGTGTCAAGTTGGATTTGGGTTCTCAGTTTCCAATGTTCTACACACAGTAGGACCTTCATCAATGCTGGGGGCTGGACCCATAGGTAGGTAGATACTTTAACATGGCTCCTACTCAGACCCCACTTTTCACATGCAGATTTATCCTGGGAATCGAGGGTGCTGAGTACAATCAGTGCTGCTTGCATTTAGCTGTCTCATCTCTCTTGACTCACTTACGAAGCATCTCTGTTCTGTTTATCTCAAATTCAGCTCCTCTACTTCTGTCAAACAGCAGCTCCCCAAATGTAGTTACCAAATAGCCACGTGACTTAGGAATCAGTCTTGTTGTTTCCAAATATTGCAAGGTTCTGAGCTGGGTTTTTTTTTTTTTAGAGCTTTGTTCACCTAGGAGATGTTAATTTCTTAGACCTGGAATGCACTTTTCCTCTCAGGCAAGTCTTATCTAGAGAAGCCACTAATTGTGAAGTTAAAGGTTGCTAATATTCTTCACCATTGGCAAAGCCTGCACTTTATTAAAGAACAAATAGAGTACTTCTTTTTGGAAAATTTATAACAGACCTACACAAATGGTATACAAAGTCACATGGGTCTCCTCGTGGCTATAAACGTAACATGCTTTACATTTACACTGCCGTTATACAATTAATATCAAGCATTCTTCTTTACTTTCCTTTGTAAGTACCTTGAAAGTCTCGTCATAAAAAGTAGAAATGTTTTATGATTGTTTAAATGTACACATAAAGGTTAAAAATACTGTTCTCTTTATTTTTAAAAATTTTTTACAATAGAATAACTCATCTTAACTTGAAATGCCTAGTGAACATAATATCTATTATGCTGTTCTTTGTTTCCACTTTTCATCTCAAAAATGCTTCCATTTTCAAGTTAAATTCTCACTGCATCTTTTAAAATCTTTTTACAATGTAAAAGTTCTTTATGTGTCAAAAAAAAAAAAAAAACGTAGACAATACGGCTTTCAGTAGCTAACTCCCTTATGGTGCAATCAGACATAGTGTCTGATTTTCCTGCAGAGGTATAGTTGAGACTTTATAAAGAAAGAGTTCATTTCTGGCCCTCTTAGTTGTTGTCCTATGCGAGCATTATGCCTACAACCTTAATTCGGTCAGCAGCTGCCTAGTTCCTGGGTCTTCAGGACCCCCTTCCCCAGCCTCTGCACTGCTATCTGTAGACATCTACCTGATCTGTAGGTCACAAACTTGGTTACACACTCCAGTGGTGCCTCAATTAAATCTTGCAATACCCCAGGATTTAAGTTGTCTGGGAAAAACTTGAGTGTCTAAGTTAGCTGCTGAATAACACAAGTTTCCACTTTTTTGAATGTCTCATCAACCACTCCTTGTTTCCTCCATCAGCTCCCCCAACATAGGTACATTTTGTCAGTCCAAAGTGATGTCTACCAAGCAGTCCAATATCCCTACTGGGATTGACACTCATCTCTGAACTGTCTGCTAGGCGAGGACCCCATTATCTTGATAACTCCTACTTCCTTAAGCCTTTGGATAGATTCTTATGTGGAATGGATAGATTGGCAAGAATAGTGTCTGGTCTGAAGTTCTTCCATGGCCAGACTCCCTCTTCTATTCTCACTTCAATGCATTCCACCCCACATTATTAATACCTAGGAAAACATACTGGGTGGGTATGACTGCCTGATGCCTCTGCCCAAGTCTTACCTGGTCCTCTTCTGCCCTTTTCTCAAACACTTGTTGCCTAGGACCCTGCAAGCCTTGAGCAAGGGCTTGCTGGTGTTAGGACATATTTTATATAACTTTTCAGTATCCAAATGAACTCCAACGCTTTCTTTGTATGGACATGTGAAGAAAATTTATGTGGTCACTCTTTAGTATTGTGTCAAAATATGATCCCCAAAGGGCTAATATCTTATACCAAGGGTTAGCTAACTATGGGGCATAGGCCAAATCTATCCTACTCTCTGTTTTTGTAAATAAAGTTTTATTTGAACATAGCCACAACTATTGCTCATTCATTTACATGTTGTTTATGCCTGTTTTCGTGCTACAACAGCAGAGTCGAGTAGTTGTGACAGAGATTACATGGCTCACAAAGCCAAAAATATTTACTATCTGACCTTTTATAGAAAAAATTTGCCAATCCTCACCTTATATCCACCAATACTTCATCTATCATCTGTTTGGATCCTAAATAGAGTCCTACCTGAGGGACAAGCACCCCAGGTAGTTGGGTACCAAGTTGGTCAAACTACAAATTATTTTCACCAAGAAGGATGAAACATATTTTCAAATTAGTGACATCTGGCTAAAGACATTAGCATATGTGGAAAAAAACTCCTGCAAAGCTAAGCTCAAAGACTTCTAGAAGAACCTACTTTAAAAAGATGCAGCCTAGAGAGAGGCAAACTTGAGATAAATTATTAACAACTATTGTAGTCCAATAAGAATTCAGAAAAACCAGTCCCATGACTCAGTGGGTGCTCTCTTTGTGGTCATTTACTCTGACCACACCTTGCTGCTAGACAAATTCAGCCTCACTGGATTAGAGAGAGAACTAGCATTGATTTTCTTCCATTAAATAAAATATTACAAAGGCATGCTTATAAATGATTACATCATCAAGGCTTGCAAATAGACAACATAAAAAAATGTCTTTACCTCATTTGCTAAATTGAACCTGATAGAAAGAAAGCAAAATTTCTCTTGTAAATCAAATGACTGGATATGCTGACATTTAGTTTCAAAAGTAGTCTTTCTACAAGGCTATACATCTAACTACTAAAATTTAAAATGGCTGAAGGAAAGGGTTTTGCATCCTATTGTGCCGAGTGTTATTTCTTCCTTTGCACTGATTAAAATAAAGGAGTCATCATTGTCAGTGGGCAGAGCTCGTTACATTGTTTTTAGCGAATGCAAGAAGGTGTAAATACAAACTATAAAGAAGAAGAGAAAGATCATGACTCACCGTCTGACAGCGAAGCTATTAAACATAATCAAAGACTCAGAGTGAACTCACGTTGCCTTTCAACACATTGCTAAAGAATCCTTTTGGCTGTAAAACTAGCATAAAATGTCAAATCTGACACTGCTGTTGGAGAAACTTGGTTTAAGGCATTTAAAACAACTTCAAGACTTCAAATGAAGAGAAGTTACTTACCATAGGATTAAGTCACACTGCATTTAATCTGGACACAGGGCCCCTCAAATTGTAACCAATAACTGATTAAAAGTTGATCTTTTGGGGCATTATAATCTGAAATTTTAGGACAATTATTGGTGATTAAAATATATAGTCTGTTGAATGAACAGAGGCTCACATAGGTTAACAACAAAATCAATGTTTGTTGTCTCTTACAAAATACAAGGACAATGATTTATTCTCAGGAAGTCAGTTGGATCATGAAGTAAGGTACATGGTTCTATATTGAGAAGCGTAAATCCTGCCCATGGTGTAGGGTTCCGGGGCCTTGAGTGAAAGGAGCAGATGGGCAGGAGGATGGGACGTGGAGGTGAAAGAGAACAGATATGACAACCCAAAAGTTCATTGAGTGTTACCTGAAAAGAGCCTACTTATTTTCTGCTTATCAGTCCTTTAAAGGCATGTGTCCTCAAGGTCAGTTTGTTAAAATGCATCGGTCTATGAAAAGGTTGTGAACCAAAGGACTTTCATGATTCATCATGTGAGTTCTGTGGGAAGCTTAATCATGACTATTTAAAAGTTGAAGTTAGGGGCCGGCCTCATGGCTTAGCGGTTAAGTGCGCATGCTCTGCTACTGGCGGCCCGGGTTCGGATCCCGGGTGCGCACGACGCACTGCTTCTCCGGCCATGCTGAGGCTGTGTCCCACATGCAGCAACTAGAAGGATGTGAACTATGACATACAACTATCTACTGGGGCTTTGGGCAAAAAAAAAGGAGGAGGATTGGCAATAGATGTTAGCTCAGAGCTGGTCTTCCTAAGGAAAAAGAGGAGGATTAGCACGGATGTTAGCTCAGGGCTGATCTTTCTCACAAAAAAAAATAAAAAATCAAAGTTGAACTTAGTCTTCTAAAGCCAGCCCTTGGCCAGCCTCACAAAAATGTGTGCAATTTAGCTCTGTTTGGCTTGCCAGTGTTTTATATATTCCCTTTGGACTCTAGGTTCTGGAGCACCAACTACTTCCATTTGACTCTCCACGTACACTCAGCATGAAGCCTGGAACACATTAGTTGCTTAATAAATGCATGTGGCATAGAAGAGGCAAGAATGATTCTCACCACTTATTATGAAGCAGTGTGAGAATGCAAAGATAGAGATGTTGACCTGTTCAAGGAAGATTAGCTCTGGCAATATCTAGCAATGTCCACTCAGCCCCTGGCCCAGTAAGTTTGACGTCAGACCTTTCGCCCATATACTCCCTAAAAGTAAAAGTAAGTCACAAACACTAACATTTGTTGTGGGATCCAATGTGCCTAACTTATAGAATTGTGCTTTCATACTCTGACTTCAATACCTGCTTCTGGTTCCTTCTAATTTGTGGCCCATTAAGCTTCTCCTTCTGAAATTTTGGATATGCACTTCCACATAGTTGTCCACTTTGAACCTTCCCTTAGCCTTGGTGCCTTCTGCTACCCCAGCCCAAAAAGTCCCTGCTCTAACCTCTAGCACTTTTGCATCTCACAACCCCTGACCCTACTCTACTATGACAAGGAAGAATCCTGACTCGGAAGGAATAGTCTCAGAAAAAGCTTTGGGAGATATTATAACTTCTGTTTCCTTCCTTGAAGTCTTAACAGATCTTTGAGAATTTCTAGCAAAGGTGGGAGCAGACACTCTTTTCATCAATGATGAATTTCCAGGATTTTCTGGTTAACTCTCATCTCAGTGGATAAATGATGGCTTGCCTTAGGTGATCTACATGAAAGTAACTGTCACCCCCAACTGCCAATCTTTATAGCAATGGCTGAACAGGTTATTTATAACTAAAGTGGTGAGCATTATCTAACCCTCTCTGTATACCACATTGTGCTTCTCCTGTACTTCCCAGAGAGCTCACATCATAGTCTACCTTGCATTATATTTATCACTTTATTTCCTTCTTGTAGCCCTTTGGTAGCTACCTGGGGACAGCTCTTTTGTTTTTCTCATTCTCTGTGTTCCCCAGAACATTAGCAATGAAACTTGAACAAATAAGTAAACTAGAAATGCTTACTAAATGTAAGAAGAGAAAAAGATAGCATATGCAAACATATCCAACTCTAGTTTGGTGAAATGAATATTTAACTATTGGATTGCAATGAGACTTTTGACCAGTTTTGGGGTCTAGTTTTAACAGTCATTAATCAGAATTACAAATATGTTCGAAAATCCTGTAAATGCAATAAACAACCTCTACCCCTGATGCCCACACTCCTTCATGCTGTTGATTGCTACAAGTTAATTTCTATTGACGCTTCCCACTCTCCATGATTTTTGCCTAATGTGGTCCCAGATGAAATTATGCAGGGAAACTATGTCCCCTGCTCTAGGTTCATAGGGTGTTCATGTGGATTTTTTTCCTTCATTTTTAAAAATATTTACACTTAGGAGTAAGGATGGGAAAAAACAGAAATTAGATAAGTTACTTTTGAGCCTCTTCAACCTCTAGTTGTTCTTTCTCTCTGCCTGCAATGGTCTACTACTGCTCTTTGGATGTTATGTGACCTCATCTGGTCCTGAATCTCTTTCAAACTGAATCTATCTAGTTCTCCTTACAAAATCAGCTTTCAACCTAGTTCTGCTGGAAAGATTCCAATATATGAATTAGTCATCTGATGTTAATGAATGATAGCAGCTTAAGGCATTTTCTGGCCCAGAGGGATTTGCATTTTGATAAGGGGCAATGCCCTAACCCAAAGGATCAAATTGCTAATAGTAGAATTTAAGTCTTCAGGGATGGCACAAGGGTCAGAAAGCCTTCCAACCCCATCACACTGGCTGCCAGCTCTAACAGTGCAGAGGACTTCCGTTCCCACGTGCTGTCTGCCTTTATCACCATGAATAATCAAGAAGGTATTTTCTATATAACTCCAAATGCTCATACTGGCAAGTGCTGAACTCATTTTAAAAGGGAAAAATATCAACACAGCGACTCCGAATAATTTCTGGATTTGGTGGGAGGAGGAGGGGGAAGAAAGGAAAGCAGGAAGGGAGGGAGAAAGGCAGGAAAGAGAGGGACTGCTAACATAGGGAACGAAAGAAGTGTGTCTTTAATCTGAATGTGATTACAATAAATTACTAGATATATAGAATGCATGTATCTTTAACACCACTTCTGAGCTCAAATTGTATGTATTAATCCAATTTTTTAATAAAATAAAAAATAGATTGACTCTCAATCTGTGGGGAAGGGGGACTTAAAAGACACAACAAATTTAAGGGCTATTAAATGTAATGTGTTAAAATTTAAAAACAAATTTAAAAATTGTGGCTCTGTATCTTAAGTTAGTGTATAAGATGGAAAACTAATTTTGACAAACAGGAGTCTCGGGGCTATTTATCAAATTATTATTAGTTGAAGTGTATGACCAAGTTGTCATTCCTAAGAATAGTGGGAAAGCAGTCCTGCAGTCACATATTTTTGAAGAAAGTCAATAAGAAATGAATTTACTCAATAGCAGGAGAATTCAGTTGCATTTGTTGAACTCATGACTGTTTTGATCTTTTTGGAAAGCAATAAATTACACACTCAGAGGAAAGGTGACGGCCTTTGGTTAGGTCAGGCATACCCTCTTACAGATATGGGTAAAAGGCTTGAGGGGGCTTGGGAGATGATCCCACATCAACTAAATCAAGGTAGTGAGTTTGCAAATGCGTGTTACTGCACTGACTCTTAAGTTTCTTAACTGAACTTTGAAACTTAATAAAGATCTCATTTTATTTGTTTTTTAAGAAGGAAAATTAATGGAACAATTGGAAAGATAAAAGTTAAAATTCCTTTTAAAGTGAAAACTTTAGTTAATTGTACAGCATGAGTTTGGTAGATATTCTAAAACAAACAATAATAAGGACAATGGTTATTAGTGTAAGTTACTTAGGAAAGGAATTAATCCATATCCTCTATCTTTGAAACGATAGCACTTCCTAAAACATCCTTTACTCTACTTCTCCATTTTCATCTACAACCAATTAATGAGACTCAGCAGATTAGATGCAGATGAAGACTTAGATACAATACAACTATGTAGGCACAAGAAGATGGAAATTATTAGAGAGAAGTTAAGAGACATGGAGAATAATATGAGAATATTAATCATATACATACAATTGTAGTCCAGTTAGAGAAACTAAAGATTATGGAAGGGATACAATATTTAAACTCAATATTTGGTTGAAAATTTTTCAGAACTGATGAAAAACATGACTCCACATATAACAAAAGCATGCCATATGCCAAAGGAATAAATTTTTAGAAATCCACACCTAGACATATCCAGAGAAACTACAGAACACCGGAGATAAAGAGAAGGTCCTCAACATAGCCAGAGGGAGAAGACAGAACAGCTATACAGGACGACAACTTGACAGTATGATTCTCAACAACAACAATGGAAACCACAAACCAATAAAATAATATCATCAAAGTGCTGACGGAAAATAATTTTCAACATAAATATCAAAACTACCTTTTAAGAATGAGGATAAAAACAGAGGAATTTTCATTAAAAAACAGAACAAACAACAAAATAGAGTTTCTAATAGAAACTCGATTGAAGTTACATACTTCTTTTGTTGTCAGTGCTGTTGAGTTGATTCCAACTCCTAGCAACACTGTGTACAGCAGAACAGAACCCTGCCCAATCTTTTTGTACCATCCTCTCACCTTTGGCGCTGTGTCAGACCATACTCTGCTAATATTCATTGGGTTTTCATGGCCAATTTTTTCAGAAGTGGGTGGCCAGGACTTTCTTCCTAGTCTGTCTTAGTTTGGAAGCTCCGCTGAAACCTGTCCACCATGGGTGACCCTGCTGGTATTTGAAATACTGATGGCATAGCTTTCAGCATCACAGCAATATGCAGCCACCACAGTATAACAAATGACAGACAGGTGATGTGGTTCCCTGCCCAGGAAATGAACCCTGGTCATGGCGGTGAGAGCACCAAATCTTAAATACTAGACTACCAGGGCTGGCTTATATACATCTTAGAAGAAGGAAAATGATCTCAAAAAGGCAGTCTGAAATGCAAGAAGCAATGGTGGGAAGAAACTGCTTAATAAGCAGATAAATCTAAACAAACACTGTCTATATAAATAATCATAATCATCTCTAACGTAGGGAATAATAACAAAAAACAATAGA